TACATGCCATATTTACAGGGATTATCTGTGCTAGGTCAGTTGAAGAGGGGATTCATCCATAGTACTTGGCACCATTTTCCTGTGCTGGGATCCCAGACTGTACAGACAGAAAGAGCAAGCTCAGTACAAGTCTATTTAGTCACTCTCTACTTCTAGTTACTGATGAATGTGGCAAGCTGCCTCACACTCTGGCTACAATGACTTCCATATGGTGAAGGACTGTAACCTTGAACTGTGAGCTAAAGTAAACCCTTCATTTCCTAAGTCACTTTTGTACGTGCTTTAGCAAAACAGAAAAAGAACTTAAGATGCTTGGAGTGCAGGTGGTTTAAAGAAAAAGGTAGAGACAATAAGCAAAACTGACGACCTGGGAAATCCACAGCAGTGAGAAACTGCTGCTCTAGAAAACACTACTGATGAGCTGAGATCTGGGGATTCACATCAAACTTCCCACGGAAAGGTTACTGCTGTTGAGACGTTTTTCTGATCTCATTCTTATCTCTGGTAGGAGGCTCTTGTCCTCAGGATGAACACTAAGCCGGGTACAGGCAGAGCACATGCTCACCTTTGTGTCCTCTCCCTGGAGGTTTAAATCCCTCCCTTCATCTCTGTGTCATCGGAGTGGACAACAAGTATGGTGCTACCAATGTGCTTGACCAATGAGGACAATAGAGTAGACAGAAACTGAGCACAAAGTGAAGAGTTTTCAGCTTTAGAAAGAAGCAGAATCACACCAAAACCTGGACCTCCAACAACAACAAAAAAAGAAAAGCAGCAGCTGCAAATCCTATCTTCTGTTTATTATAAAGCTCTGAGTTTTTGAAAAAAAAGTCTTTAATGAATACAATTACATTAGAAGATAGTGTCCTTCATATTGTATTGACACTCACATGGCAGTTCTGTGTGCAAAGCACAGCAAAAATAAGAAGAAGAAGGCAGAGGAGAAGAAAGAAAGAAAGAAAGAAAGAAAGAAAGAAAGAAAGAAAGAAAGAAAGAAAGAGAAAAAGAAAAAATGGGAAGTACAGAACTGCATCTCAACCAGCTCATAAAAGAGAAAGGCGAGAAAGTCAAAGCAACATTTTTCATTTTCTTGATTTTTTTTCTTCTAATTTCACTTTTGTGGAAAAAACCCACATACACACAGATATGAATATATATTCAAGTATATATTAATGTTCCAGGCTGCCTTGCTGCCAAAGCCATTTTTATTTGGGAAAACACATCTTGAGCCACTCACTTCCGACTAGACAGCTGCCTGGACGCCGTGTACATCTGTGTAGTCACACCTTCAAACCCTCAGCCCTCAGCAGGGCCTTTATCCTCTTGCATCTGCAAGCTGCTCTTCCTGTCCAGGCTGAGGAGGCCATCTGGAATGGCTAACAGCCCACTGAGAAGGTTGGTTTGAATCGCTTCACTAGGAGGAGCTGCCGGTCCTCAGTAGCTGCCCACCTCTTGGTATTTTTCTCCTGAGGTCAAACTTTCTCAACACTGAACTTCACAGTTTTAAAGCAAGAAAACCAAAACGAGCTCTATTTTGAGATTTCCTATGCCCATTGCCAACCCATGTGTCCTAGCATTTAGCATCACGGCTGTTGTAACGTTCTGCATTCTCTGCCTACCCACACAGTTCTTGCTGGGGCTATAAGAGCAAGGATGAAAAAGATGCTTTGGGATCTCAAAATGAGTGAAAAACAGACCCCAAAATGGGTTTTAGATGACTATCTAGGCTCTTCGAACCCAGGGATAAAAAACACTTATAGGCTGACGAAGACAGTTAAGCACCAATCCATAAATAAGACTTTTGCCGCTGTAGTCCCTGTTCTCTCAGTATCATAGTTCAAGGGAGACTCTAAGTAGCTCTCCAACTTCACTTCACCCTCTGTGGAGTCTGCAGGCTCAGCTCATTCTCCTCCAAGCACTCTATTTTTTAAATTTATTTTTTTCTGATACATGTGTGGTCTGATACAGTTCAGGATGGCCCAGAACTGACTACGGAGCTGAGAGAGGCCTGGACTCCTGATCCTTGTCCCTCCAATGTGTGAGTTCTTGGATTACAGGGTAAGCCAATGAGACCAGCCCTTAAAGCATTCTTTTAATTTTTATTGTGCTTTTTTTTTTTTCTTATTTTGGTAAGATGATCTAACATAGCTCACTATCCAGTAAGCCTAGGACTCCAACTATTTAAACAATCAAACAGATCTGTGGTCCAACTTATACCTTAGCCCTGAATAACACCTCTCAAACATTTTAAGTAAAGACAGAGGTGTCTAATAGTTGAATATGCAAATAATCTCATCTATTATTTGTATTTCTGATGAAAAAAAAAACACATGTTCACACAATGAGCTATAGAATTGCCTAAGCAGGGAAGACCATTGGGTAATCTTCCAGAGGACCCAGTTTTGAGTGACAGCAACCCACATTATGAGTAAATCCGTCTGCACATCAAGTTCCAGGGTTTCTAACTCTCTGTGTGGCCACCAGGAGCACCATATCTGCTGCTCAGACATACATGCGGGCAAAGCATTCACGCCTGTAAGACAGAACAGCTTGGCACTGATGAAATGTTTTCCTAAACACTTCACTGCATACAGTGGCATTTCACTGAAAAGCGAAAAGAAAACGTGCACAAATTAGTGAGAGATTATAGGAAAGCATGCTGAACACAGCATTTTCACTAGACTTTCTTGCTGTTCTCTGTTGTTGCTTTGGCTGTGCAGTGGTAAAATGTTCAACATGCTATGGGAGATATCTAAATCATAATTGCACCATAACCATGGGTGGAAATTTAGAGATTCATATGTAATTGCTATTCAAGCACTTGGGGTGGCAGAGCCCAGAGGACCACAAGTTTCTAGGCTAGCCTTGGCTATATAGAAAGGCTCATTTCTATCTGTCCGTCTGTCTATTTATCTATCTATCTATCATCTATCACCTGTCTATCATCTATCTCTATCTCTATCATTTATTTACCTATCATCTACTTATTAATTATCTATCATTATTGGTCTATCATCTATCCATATCTACCTATCTATCCTGAGTTTTAATATAAACCGATTGTTTATATAAACGGAGACAAAACAGAGTAGAGCTATAATTTCTTTCTTAAATGTTTTTGGTAGGCTGTAGTGGTGAAGCAGGGTCTACAAAGAGTCTCACTAGAAGTGATGGAAACTTTGTGTTCCTTCCCCCTTTACACATGCTGATGATGGTGAATTTGAGGCAATCGTTAGAATACTTGATCCACAGCCAAACATTATGTGGAGCTTGAAGAATCCTGTGGAAGAGGGGGAGGAAGGATTGAAGGAACCAGAGGGGATCTAGGACACAACAAGAAAACCTACAGAATCAAGGAACTTGGGTCCATTGAGGCTTGTAGAGACTGAACCACCAAGCAGAGAGTATGCATGGGACAGACCTTGGCCTTTTGCCCATATGTAACAGTTGTACAGCTGGGTCCTCACATGGGACTCCTTAAGCAGGAGCAGGGGCTGTATCTGACTACATTGCCTAACTTTGTATCCTTTTCCCCTAACTGGGCCTTGTCTGGCCTCAATAGAAGAAGATGAGCCTATGCTTACTGCAACCTGATATGCCAAGGGTGGTTGATATCCATGGGAGGCTTCTCCCTTTCTGAGGAGCAGAGGAGTGGTAGATGCAGAGAAGGAAAATAAGAGGGAGGGACTGGGAGGAAAGGTGGGGCAGGGAGGAAAATGTGATCAGGATGTAAATAAATAAATAATCAAAAAATAATATTTTAAAATTATACATTTAAAAAAAGAAAGAAATTTAGAGATCCTTGGTGTGAACACCTGTACGGGAAGTTTTGTGACAAATGAAAGGTTTCCATTATCACACACACACAATCACACAACAAGGAATACCATACATCTCAGATTAAGTTACAAAGATAATACCTAGTAATTAAGAATGAAGAACAAGAAAACAAGAATGAAGATCAACAGAAGATAAGAAAGCACCATGGTGTGTAAAGTCTACTTAATGGTGGATCCCAAGAAAGGAGTGAAAAAAGGGTGGGAGAGTAGAATAAGCACTTGGAACGAAAGTGTGATTAATGTATCAACAAGACATAGCCTCACTAAGGGAGGAGCAAAGAACAATGCTGTTCTGCCAACCTAACTACAGAAGGAACTCTCCACAGAAAAGAGGCCGTCTATAATATTTTCCTAAGAGGCACTGTCTATTTGCTCCTCAAAGACAGATCAAGCAAGAGATAAGAAAATCAAAAATCATAGATGAGAATTAAAAAAAAAATACCCTACTACCTGTTCTGCAGTCTTGATCTGAACATGGGAAGTTTTATGAGATGGTGAGAATAAAGCAAATTAACACGATAGAGAAGTTACAGAAGGACATGGAGAATTAACATCTCAGGGTCTCTTTAGTCTTAGGACATTTTTACAGTTGGTCTTCATTTCAGTTTGCCACAAATTAGAATTGGCTGATAGTAAAGTCAAGGTTTCCACGATTCCATCATGGACTAGGAACCAGCTGCTCTCCAGAACTCTTAAAATTTTCGGTGCCACACTGGGACTACGTTGGAACCCAGCCTTGTGGACTTCCCCAGTGAGAGATGACCATGATGGGACTCCAAGCATGGAGACACGAGTTCTACAACTAACTGGGTCTTCCACTCTCCCTAGGGATTCAACTGTTGTTACTCTTTTAATAGGAGGAGATCTAATAAATTCTAAATCTGTGTGTGTGTGTGTTCTTCCCTTTGGGTCTCTCATATAGAGTACCACACTACAATCTTGTAGACATGCTTAGTAAGAACCATCTTGTTCAATAGAAGGTTCTGATTCATTGTGGACACCTGGCAAACAGAATTTTTTTTTCTCTTTCTCCTTGAACTGATGGCTAAGAAAAGGGAATGCTGGTGACCTGGTTTATGCTTTACATTCATCAAGGCCTCTCACTTGGATACATATTCATTTCCACTGAAGAAAACTGAAGATGTTGATTTGTCTGGCACAATGAGAGGTAAATCAACAGATTTTATACAGGAAAATGAGAAGGACCACACATTTGTGAGCAGCAAAAGGAACCAGATAGTGTGTCATGGCATACAGGCTATTAAGCCAGGACCTTCAGCTACACTGACCAAAGCCACCAGCCACCTGGCTACCTAAGCTAAATCAACATTAAACAATATAATAAATCATCAAACTATCAACTCTACTGATATGAGTTAAGTGAAAAAGCAGAACAGAGTTATTAGGTAGATAAAATGTGAGATGTGAATGTTTCTGACAAATAGATAGATAGATAGATAGATAGATAGATAGATAGATAGATAGATAGATACATACATACATACATACATACATACATACATAGACACATAGATACATAGATACGATAGATGGATGGATGGAATACCACTCTACATTCTGTTACTGTAGATACAGCTCACATAACCAGTAGCCATCACAGTGGCAGTGGCTCCTTACGGGTTTGCACCTACACAAAACACTTCAGTTACTTCAAAGTGTTTGATGAACAGAGCCACTTTCCTCCAAGCTGCCTAGTGCAGTTGTCAGCCTCTGAACATCTTCCGTTCTGAAGGCAGACTAACTGATCCCTTCAACAAGTAGAGTATGACTACCTGAACAGCATAAAGCTTACACTGTGAACACAATGGACGAGTAACAGAACTCCAGCAGCAGACTTAACAGAAATAATGAAAGATGAATGCTGCTGGAAACACGTTCAAAAAAACTGGGAAACATGAAAAGGACTTGTTTCCATTAGGATAAAAAATAGGTACTGGCACTGTCCTAGTTTGCTTTCTATTGCTGTAATAATACAATGAACCAAACAAACTTGGGAGGGAATCCTTTATTTTATTTTATTTTATTTTATTTTATTTTATTTTATTTTATTTTATTTTATTTTACATGTTACTGTGTAATGTTGAAGGAATATGGAAGAAGAATTTATGTGAAAGCTCAAGAAGAAAGCACAGAGGAACTCTCTTAATGACTTGTTCCTTGTATCAGGTTTAGCTACTTTTCTTTTCTTTTTTTTTTAGGTGATGAATTCTTTTTTTTTTCTTTATTAATTACACTTTACTCACTTTGTATCCCCCCTATGGTTCCCTCCCTTCTCCCATCCCAATCCCTCCCTTCCTCTACCCTCTGCATGCATGCCCCTCCCCAAGTCCACTGATAGGGGAGGACTTCTTTTCCTTCCTTCTGATCCTAGTCAATTAGGTCTCATCAGGAGTGGCTGCATTGTCTTCTTCTGTGGCCTGGTAATGCTGCTTCCCCCTCAGGGGGAGAAAATTAAAGAGCAGGCCAATCAGTTCATGTCAGAGACAGTATACTTTTCTTATATAGCCCACACCCTCCCACCTAGGGATGGTACCAACCACAATTGGCAGGCTCCCCTACATTCATTAGCTACATTCATTAGCTATCAAGAAGCTTCTCCAAAGGACGAGTCCACAGACAAATGTTAGAAGCAAGTCTAGTTGTATCGAGCTGAAAAACCAAGATTAGCCATCACAAATCCCACATTTCTTCAACTTGACACATCACTGCAAAACGACAATGTCCCCAAGACTCAGGACAGTATAATATAAAACACAACTTTTAAAAGTTACAAAGTCTTTAAAAATACTACCAATCATTTAAAAGTACAAGGGCTTTTTTAAAATTCAAGGTTCTTTTTTAAATATTTTTTAATTTTTATTAATTACACTTTATTCACTTTGTATCCCCCCATAAGCCCCTCCCTCCTCCCCTCTTAATCCCACCTTCCCTCCCCCTTCTTCACACATGCCCCTCCCCAAGTCCACTGATAGGGGAGGTCTTCTTTTCCTTTCTTCTGATCCTAGTCTATCAGGTCTTATCAGGAGTGACTGCATTGTCTTCCTCTGTAAGGCTGCTCCCCCCTCAGAGGGAGGTGATCAAAGAGCAGGCCAATCAGTTCATATCAGAGACAGTCCCTGTTCTCATTACTATGGAACCCACTGGAACACTGAACTGCCATGGGCTACAACTGTGTAGGGGTTCCAGGTTATCTCCATGCATGGTCCTTGGTTGGGGTATCAGTCTCAGGAAAGACGACTGTACACAGATTTTTTTTTTTATTCTGTTGCTTTCCTTGTGAGTCCCTGTCCTCTCCAGATCTAACTTAAACTGAAAATTGGCATACCTTTAATGGCATTTGCACTTCTGTCCCATTTCAAATTGCAGTCTTAAAACTTTACATTGAACTTTGGCAGGCCTTGAGCTTTGTTCACATTTCCTTATCAAATTCATCTTTTTCTTATAGTTAAAGTTTTGGCTTTCACTAACGAAGTTGCTATTGATTGCTACCTTAATTTTATTGAGCATTTTATACTATATTTTATACTATGGTGTATTTACTTAACATAGAGCCCTTCAGATCAATGTCAACTCCATTTTACTCATTTTGCTGGATCTCTTCTTGAGACAGAAATGCTTAATGCTTGTGTCTTTCTCCTTGAGAAGTCAAGTTTTATCAGTGTAACCAAAATAAAGTCCTCATATCTGTCAGAGACATTTTCTATATCCACAATATTCTTTCCAGTAAAACGTGGCAGGCGAGCTATTCTCAGTGAGAGCAGTTACTCTATGGAGTTAAATATGGCACAAACAATGAAACACCAAAAATTCATGGCCTGAAATGAGTCGGAGGGATAATGGTTGCTTTTATTTTAAGAAATAAAATACTGTTACACATGTCAAGGGATATGGGCCTGCTGTGGAGAAACATGTTACTACTTTTCAGAAGACATGAAGACATGGGATGACAGTGAGGCTTCTTGCAGACACCTGGGTTCTAGTCTCACGAAGATTGGCAACAGAAGGGAGAAGGTATGTGTTTCATGACAAGTCTGGATGGCTTGAGCTGTGATAATCATTTAAGTTCCTCTACCTTTATTGGCTTTCATAATAGAAGCACTTGAATGTGTTGGCACAGATATAACTGCAGAGAAAAGGGCACATTAAAAAAAAAAAAGGCCCGGAAGAATGTTTTTATACCACAAGAAATACCCCTGAGGTGAGTGCCAAGGGACAATTCTTAGCCATTTTATTGTGTTTTCCTTCAGATTTTAACTAGAGCAGACCATCTAGTTCATGAAAAGCTAACGAGAAAGGCGATCTTTGATGGTACATGTGATCTAACATAGGTAATTATTTGTGAGTTCTGTTCTTTTATCATCATTATCTGGAAAGAAATATTTCTAAGGTGGAACATGAGTCTCTGTCACTGGACATGGAAAAAGTAGGACTTAAAATCAAGACAAAACAAATAAAAGGAAGATGGTAAAATCACTCCTCAGAAATAATTTTTAATTTACTCGTAACTCAGGATGACAAGAGTTTCTCTGTTCTTTGTACATGACAGTTGCTATTAGTGTCAAAGTTTAAGAAAGAAGGGGTTGCTCTCATTGATTCTGTAGATTTCCAACAATTCAAGTTATACACTAGAGTCCATTTCTATGTTTATTTTTAGAAATGCTGCTTCTAATGGTGTCATATGGAAGATGCATAAAACACCATAACACACACAAAAACAAATCCACCATAATGCTCATCAATGTAACTATTTTATTAAAATAGATTATTTTTCAAAAATTGCTTGAATGATGTGCCCTAGCAAATATAACCACTTATGTTTCTTTTTCCCATTAATTAATGAACTTACTTTACATCCTGGTCATAGCTTCCCATGCTCCTCTGCTCTGAATCCCCTCTTCTCTTCCCTTCCCCCCACCCTCTTATCCTTTCTCCTTGGAGAAAGGAAACTTCCCGTGGATATCAACCTGCTCTGGCCTATCAAGTTGCAGTAGGACTAGGCACATCTTCTCCTTTTGAAGCTAGACAAGGCTACCCAGTTAGGAGAAAGGAGTTCAAAGGCAGGCCACCAAGTCAGAGACAGCCCCTGATCCTGCTGTTAGGGGTCCCACATGAAGACCAAGCTGCACATATGTTATTTATTAGCAGAGGGCCTAGACCTGTCCCATGCAAGCTCTCTTGTTCAGTCTCTGTGAGCCCCTATGGGCCCAGGTTAGTTGAATCTGTAGGTTTTCTTGTAGTGTCCTTGAACTCTCTGGTTCCTTCAATCCTTCCTTCCCCTCTTCCAGAACATTCCCTGAGCTCCACCTAATGCGTGGCTGTGGGTCTTTGGATCTGTTTCCACAAGCCACTGGGTGAAGCCTCTCAGATAACAACTTTGCTAGGCTCCTGTCCGCAAGCAGAGCAGAGTATCATCAGAGGTTGGCTCTCTCTCACGGCATGGATCTCAAGTGGGGCCAGTCATTGGTTGGTCATTCTCTCGAGGTTTTATGGCTATGTTGGTGTCCCCAGCTCCCCATTAGAAGTCTTGTGTGGTTATGGGAGGCGGGCATTTCAGGCTGTATGTTCTTGCTTTATGTCAAGTACATCTTCTTGTTTCTTTTCCCTTTTACCTACTGGACAAATTTCTTCATGTTGACTTACAAGAGGTCTTCATTTGTCCTTAAAATAATGACAAGTATCTCCAAATCTGAGGCTTTTTTTAAAACATGTTTTATAAAATGTCTTTTGATATATAGAAATTATAAATTTAGTGTAGCTGGACTGTGTACAATATCTTAGATACTATCAATGCTATAAGGAACACTAAAATTCTACTTTTCTCACAGAGCATTATTCAAATACAATTGACATTCCGCTCTTGGGTTGGATTACGTAAAAAAGGAAGTCAACTCCAGTGGGTACACCAGAAGGACACAACACTTTCTTCCGATTTGTAAGTTATTACTTCATATACTTACTTAATTACTGATTCACAACTAATAGTGTAAGGGAAGGTCCTTGTGACTTATATCACGCCTTTAATTCACTACTTTTGCCTTTCATATGTAGAACCTCCAACACAATTAAGGCCAAATTATTAAAAACAAAGAAGCATTTCTTTCCGTGTTTCTTTTTTTATGAATGATTTCTTTATTTTTTGTAAATGTATATGCATGTTTCATCTCTGTCTGAGCACCATGTGCATGCCTGATACACTCAGAGTCCAGAAGAAGACATCAAATTCTCTAGAACTGAAGTTACAGGTCTCTGAAGGGCAGCTGTGTGGGTGCTGGGAATGGAAACGAGTTCCCTGGAAGAGCAATAAATGCTCTTAACTGCTGAGCCATCTTGCTAATCCTTCTGTTAAGACAAAGGACACTAAATCCCCATACTAGCCCTTACCCTTTAGTAGCTATCATCAGAAGGTTGTGAAACTGAAACACCATTTATATTTTTATATTGTGGTAATAAAAGTTATCACTAAGGAGTGATTTTTCTAAAATAAGCATTCTTTTGGTGCAGGGATTTTCATGAAAATCATTTAGCAGATGCAGAGTGTGGATTCCTCGAGCCAGTGGGATTGAGCAGAAGAAGTTTACCTGCTTGTGACTTCGAAGAATTGGTAAAATCACAATGTTTATCCTTTAATGGTTATCAGTAAAGTAAAATTCAACAAGTTTGAACATTCACCCAAATCAGGGAACTCTACCTGACTTATGAAGCCTTGCTCCGCTGAAGCAACGACAAAGCACAGGTTTTTAGACAGTAAATGAAGCAAATTCAAGAAGTACGTCTCTATTTTGAAATGGTAAGAACCAATAAATGGAGAACCATGAAGCACTTATTTTGCTTTGGTGAAAGACTTTGTATGTATTTCTCTTAATCATCTAGGCAAATTTAATTCAGCGGTGGAGCATTCTATGTACATTGCTGAAAATAAAAAAAAAAACAAAATTGAACTGTAAACACACCTATTCTTCCCTCTCCTGTCTTCCAACCCCCTCTCATCAGACTCAAGCAACGAGAGTTTAGGTGTCATTCTGGGGATATCACATGGAAACGCATTCTACCTAAAGCAAATGTTACCTGTGCATAAAGTGTAGCCTGAGATTTTCAGTTTGGCAGTGGGGTCTAGGTGGTGCCTGACTACGTAGCTATGGCTGGCCTGGAACTCAAGTAGAACAGGCTAACCTGAAATTGGTGGTGGGCCTCTTGCCCCAGGCTCCTGAATGCTGGGATTGCAGGGGCGCACCATCGGCCTCAGTTTCGCTTTTCAGTATCTAGACACGGCAGACTGTTTCTCGTCAGGACATAAAGGAGATACTCACCTTTTGGAAGCATCCGTAAGCATTGCGCTAGTAAGAAATGTGACAAAACGAATTTAACCATTCTTATTGCAAAATATTGGAAAACACTGGTATTTAGGCTTATTGTAGACTTTATGATTACATAAGACCCGGACTGAGTGAGACGTCACACCGTTTGATGTTGCATGGAGAGTGTCTCCGTGATAAACCTCTGCCACCAGAATATCTGGGTCAAAATTTTATATTTTAGTAGATATTTTAACTATCACTCACCTTCACTGCACCTTCATTTTTCTCTAAACAGTCATTTTCACCAATGCTTGGTTCCTCAGATTTAAAACATCAATATGACATGTCAATGCCTTTAACTTGGTTAAGAAAATGTTTTTCAAAAGAGGTGTCTTTCATTGTTTAAATGAACAGTTACCCATTTATATATGATGACTTGTGGCATTTTTTAAATAGTTTGTGCATGTCTGTATAAGTTCATGCTTGAACAAAAAGCTTTGAAATTTAAAAACTTTTCAGTAGTTTTAAAAGTTATAGTTGAATTTAGTAAACAACGCATTAATTGTATGTGTTTATGGGCAGTGGGTAATATATATTGATACATATATATAGTTGAGCAACAATCAACTCAGTGTAATTACCACTTGACATGCCTATGTCTTGGGAACCAGTAGACTGTTCTGCTTACAAACACAATTTTGAGTCAAAGAAAACAGACTCAGCATGTGGCATCTTCTAGACTTTCACTCATTAATAAAAGTCACTATTAGGTGCTTCTAATCCATGGTATTAAAACTTAGGACAAAGTTTACTGATTGCAGTATGGGTTTAGAACTGGATAATGGAATAAATGGGTATGTGTGGAAGATAATACAGTAACCTTCCCAAAACCATGTTTTCTTTGAATCTAGAATATTCAAAACCATGAGTGAGCATACTAACCAGAAACATGAGAGTCAGGAAGGCCAAAGTCTCCTGGCTGTATGTTTTATAAGCCAGGCCGTTCGAGGTATGAGACACAGCTTGACGTTTTAGGCCAAATTCTCCAACATCCTTCCTCCTGTTATATTAAGTGTAGCCGCTGACATCTTAAGTAACTGGGAGGATATATCAAGAGCCACAGAGGCAAACAAAAAAGATAGGAGGCAAGGTCAGTAAATGTCTTTGGCACTTGCTTCCTCCCTGGTCATCTCAGGGAACGCTAGAGCTCCATCTAGTGACCACCAGTTCAGCCTAAGGGTGCTAACCCAGCCTGGGGTTAAGAATCATTTCCAATTGTTATGGTCAGCCAGAACATTACAGACAAGAGTCTTCCCAGATATGGGCTACAAGCCTCCTCAAGGCCATGTCCAGGCTACAGAGTGACGGTCAGTGGAAATAGGAATGTCCCTTTCATGACCGCTCATGAAGGAAAATTAACCTCCATTCAAGAAGAATCTTACACTCATGTCAAACCTAAACATGAACAAACACCCCTAATTTTGTTCATGGATTGTAAGAAGCACAACAAGACAAGAGGCTCCTCTTTTTGAGGACCAATGAGGTCCTGAGTCTATACAGGGACTCACCATAGTTGACTCTCTCTTAGCTTTGGACACAGCAGAAATGAAATTTTGGTGTTTACAATACTGAGCACCGTTTTGTATCCTGACTACTTTCTCTGGTTCATCCATCTGGTCCTGAGTGCTCCTTACTGGTATTGATGGTAAACCTCAAGACCCTGCTTTGTAATTCTCTTAAAATCTATGATAAAGGAATGTCAATTATCTTTCCATTACTTCTATCTTATCAACCAAGATGCCCCATTCCCCTGCTGAACAGGGAGATCATATCTAAACTTCAGATCCCCAAAGAAAAACACGTTTTACCAACCTAACCATGATTGTTCTGATAATTGTACCCACTGACTTGTGCTATGTAAAACCTACACAATACACTCAATATCTAACTCCTCCAGTTCCATAGCACTTGACCCCAAATACCCATCTTCAAATAGGCAACCAATGCTAAAATCTTTCTTACTTATCAGCATATAGAAACAGCTAATTGCTGAATAGCATTTCTCTGGCACATATTTCTGTAATGAATCATTTAAACATCTCTTCTAATCTAGTAAATATTTTACTTTCAGGTTGTCAAGGCCAAAACTGGAATTTATACTTTTGGTTTTGGTCCTGGTGTTTCTATATTTTCTCAGTGACTGCACAGCAAGGTCCAATTGCAGTCAAAGAACAAATGTTCTTTTCTGGAGCTTCATCAGATAGCCTTTGACTTGTGGGTGGACTATCATCACTCCAAGTGGTGTGACTTCTCCTTTCCACCAAGCCAGAGAGCTGCTTCTCTTCGTCCCTGCATGACCTTGAATGCTACATTATAGGGAACACAGGGAGATTCAAGACAATATGTAACTCAGTCTGGCTTTGAACTCACTATGTAGAACTCCACCTGCCTCTGCCTCTGAAGTGCTGAGATTAAAAACATGCACCACCATACCTGGCTTTGAACACTACATTTTTAATAACAGAAAGAAGCTCCCTGATGGTGAGGTTGTGCTTCACCCTTTAATTCTATGATATAAACATGTAGTAAGAGCAAGGCAGAGGAAGGACTGGGTGGGCATGTCACACAGAAGAAAAGAACATTGTTTTTAGCTTCCTTTTGCAGGAACCTTTCCCAGCAGTGCAACTTTAGCCCAGTCTACCTCCTTCCCATTTTTAAACATAGGAGGCATCTCTCTCTGCAGGCCCTCTGCATCCACTGACCACTCAGCATTCACTACTGCCTCAGATATAACCACTGTTAAACATTCCTCCTGCATACTTATTTAGCTCTCATTACTAATAGGACTGCCCTAACAGCTCTAAGCAACTTCGGTCTATCACTGTCTCCCAAACACCCCTCTCTGGAGTGTGCGGCTCTTTGGCTCTGTTCATATTTTTCATCCCCTGACGGATGTTCTCCATTAGTATCTATTGTCCATGTAACACTGCTTACTTTTACTTAGAGAATTTCGCTAGTAGCAAGTATTTTTTTTTTGTCATTTTACTCAATGTCATATTTCAAGCTCAAAGCACAAGCAGAGTGTTGAATGAAACATAAAGCTAATTAAACAAAGGAATTTATGTTGTGAGACTGTGCTTGTGTGTAAAACCTACCACTCTGTCTCTGTGCCTCTCTTTGTGCTTAAATCGTGGCCTTAAAAGTTCATCCTCAGTGCAGTCCTGATATTTTATTTTTGCTGTTTTGTCAATATGTACAGGGACTGCTTACTTTTATGATCCCTCTATGCTTCCTATTGGATATGAGTCTGATACTTATCATCACTAATGTTTTTTAGTATTAAGGGACGTGTTTTATACATTTTGTCTTCAATCAGAATATCAAGAATTTACTTTGAGTAAATCACACTTGGCTTGGCCCGTTGTGTAAGGAAGAGGATGATGAATAGAAGTGAGGATGGCTTTTCTCCTTCTCCTGGACTGTGAGTTTCCACTGTGCAATCAAACTGCTTTTTTTTTCATTTCGCAAGTTTTAGTGACTGGCTTATGAAGTTCTCCCTTAAGATCAAAAGTTTTTGATGTGCAGCCCTATGGCCTTTTTGCTAATCCAACTGCAATATAAAGAGTCTATGCTCATAAACTGAAGAGATGATAGGTCAGAAGTTAGGAGCACTGACTGCTCTCCCAGAGAACCTATGTGAGCTCCGTTCCCAGTTGTGGAAGCCCACAACTGTCTGTGGCTCTCGTTTCAGAGGACCCAGCATCCACCTCTGGCCTCTTTGACATGTGATGTACATACAATGCCGGCATGTAAACCACATAAAGTATTAAATAACTTTTAAAAGATCAATGAGAAGTATCTTATTTGGGAGAAATAAAGAAAATTATCCAAAATTTTCATTTTCTGCTTTTGTTATTTCATAAGCATGTTGTTCGCCGTTTTATAATCATGGAGTCATTTAGACATTTCAGAACTCCTATTAATATGATTCTCTTATTAGGTGACTTGATTGATTTCAATATTTGGTAATAAATAAATGGGAAATAACACTATTCCAAGTAAATTTCTGGGTATTGAAAATAAGTACAGAACTGTCACTCCTCAAGCAAAGTGGCTGGTCTTTTCAATGGTCCTCAGGTGTGTGGTTAAATTCCATCCAAGAATGCGGCATCAGATGATGATGGCACAAAGCCCAAGCATAGGCTGCTTCATTAGTGCTAGATAATCTTTCAAAGTTTGGGTAGTTTTGGTAGTTACATGGCAAAATTCATTTTGTTGTTTCAGTTTATATTCTTTTGATGCTTACTAATGCTGTTTTCTCTCTAACCTTAGAAAACCTCCCTCC